GACCTCTGAATGATATTGTATGCAACGAATATTTTCTTGGTAGCCTAAGAACACGTTTTGGGCGATCAGTCTCAGTCCATGACTCCATTCTTCGGCAACTACGGTGCAAGGCCGATACTGTAGAGACTTGCAATTTGTACCCTTGACCTGACCTTGACCTTGACCTCAAACTTTTAATTAAGTACATGTTTTTAGTAGTTCGTGATGAGAGCTTTCGATTGGCGTTTGAATTTTCCAAATCGGACCATTAGTTCGGGAGATAACAGGGGGGGTAAAATTTACCCCCCCCCCCCAGCCCCGCGCGTTCGGCTGGAGACCCCAGCCCCGCGCGGGTTAACTCTTAGGTCACCTTCGGTCAAGAGTTATTGAGGTCAAACTGAGGTCATGTTCGAGCAAAAATGAGCAAAAAACACGAAATCTTGAAACGCTCACAAAAGCTACAGTTAAAAAGCAATTTCAAAGTTCTTTACATGGTCATGTAGGGAAACACGGTGCTACAAAACTGTTATCTCGAATTATCGAAATTTTGGGATTTTGACCCCAAAAATTTAAACAATTTTTTTAAAGAAAAACGCGAAACAAAATCCAAAAAGTTTTTCGAATTTTGAAAACAGAACCTGGAATATATTTTTTTTTTTAATTTAGTCCGAACCTTTTGATGGGAAGGATTCACAAGGACAGAGCCACCGCTAAGCGAAGCTTGTTGCGATGACCCTGCCCTCTACCCTCCGATCGCGCAATTCCGATACTATGGCAGAATTTAGAGTCCAAAGTTTAACGTGCGCACAAAGCCGCGCACGCCCGGTCCCCTCGCTGACTTCGCCTGGCTACGGCCTGCCACCAACCGCAACCATACCTGTCAGGAGGCCCATAAATGTCATGCGCCCGTCGCGCTTCGAACCCGGACTGTCATAACCGGGAACGCGTGCTCTCACCACGCGGAGTCCAACGCTCTAACCAACTGAGCTACGGGACCGGCATATATGATAGCCCCTGTGATCTTCTATCTACATACCAAATAGGTATTAGATCGATACCTCCTTTTTCGGCCAAGTTAGAGCGACAAAAGCTGTTCAATATTTGAACTCAATTTTTAGCAATTCTAGACCACGTATCGCAAAACAAAGACCACCATTAAACTTACCGTGACAAGCCGCATCGATTCGATACCCATTTTAGGTAAAAATATCAAGTTTTGAAATTTGACCTAATTTGACCTGGCCTTGACCTGACCCTCACCAGAACATAACCTAAACTGGCCCCAAAGGCTGCCTGATCTACATAATCGCATTTGTCATGCAAAAATGGATCATAAAACATGCATCACATGATATTTTCATATTGTGACCCTCAGTGACCTGACCTCTGTGACCTTACCTGGCATCAGTGACCCCAACTAGCAAAATATTTGTTTGACAAACATCGGTCAGACCGAGGTCAATGAAATTGGGTCACAAGGTAGCTCCTCATTCGGGCTATATAACACCGTTTGCTGCTTTTCGCTATGTTGCGTTTTTCTCAAGATCTTAGGGGAGGGGGCAAAATGCCCCTCCCCAAACATGGCGCGTTGCTCGGCAGTCCCCAACGGGGCGCGGGTTAAGACCTGTTATGCAAAGAAATTGGATGTAGCTAAAAAAAAAACTGAGCTCTTGAGAGCGCCATTGCCGTAGTTCAATGTGTTGCGTCGAAATTGGCCGAACATCTCGTCACTCTGACGTCATTTCCGGCCAACCTATGGTAGCTACGAAGTCCACATTTTGACACAAGATGTCAAATTGATGCAGCCGAAGGAACTGAAAGTTTTCGAGCCGATGCGTTCAGCGGTTTAGAAGTTATTGCAGAAAAACGGGAGGGGGTCTATGAATAGCCCCCCCCCCCCCAAGTGGGGCGCGGGTTAAATTGACCTCAGTGTTGATCCGAGTGAAGAGTTGACCTTAACACTTTCTGGAAGTATGTACAAATAAATGTTCATACCGTCGTCAAGCGCACCTATCGACTTAAATACCCAGGTGCGGGTTCAAATTTTGTCGCCACCGCACACTTTCAATGACAAAATATCAAAACGCTTTGTACTTTCGTCCCTTTTGCAAGCTGGATGGTGTAGCTAAGACGATCATTAACGTTTTCTGAAGTGACATTGACTTGACCTGGCATTCTGACCGTAGTTGACCTAGGGGTCGAAACATGGATGCATGTGTGTCTGCACTTGTATACCTACGCTACTCATTGCGACGAGGGCTGAAGGCATCTGAAAATCCGAAAACCCGGAGCACATATGTGCTGTTGAGTCATGAGTGAGACTGGATGACCGAATGTTGATGCTGTTGACTGTTGAGGCGCTGGGTGATGTCCCGGATGGGCCAGGGACCCGCAGTTGCTACTGTACAGCGACCCTGAGTAAACTGTCCCAGCACCCTCACAGGGAACAAGTAACAACGATAAGCTGTCAGAGGGCACGCACAGAACACCTCAGCTGCTCTTGTACAGGGACCAGCAGTCGATATCAATGTTATCGATTGTTCTGGACAGGACAGACGGTTAGACTTGGGGTTCGTGTACAGTAGCAACTGCGGGTCCCTGGCCCCTGTATTAGAATTTGGCAGTTGAGGGCCAGGGTCGCTCAGCGATGGGCCTGGGTGCCTGCAGTAGCGCCGCCGCGCCCCTGTACTGAGCGACCGGGACGCCACCTCTCGGTGCCTACGCGCTACAGTGCAGCGCCCCTTGCTACCGCTGTTACCGATCAGGAGACCCTACTCGGAGGTGCCTGACGGCTGACACCAGATCGCCTGTCCGGTGCCCCGATCGTTTGCTGTCTGCTTCAGCTATCAACCCGTGCCATGCCAACACAGATTCACATAGAACGGCGCTGTTATATCTAAAAAGGCCGCACGAGGCGTCGCCGTTTTATCAACCTCCTCCTCCTCACAAGCTGTGAATCATCCGTCTTCGCCCTCCTCAGGATAAGTCCACCCGCACCCCCCTCACGCTCCCTTTCCGGACTGGCGGTCACCCCCAACTGACACCCGGTGGATGAGGTCCCTCTCCGGGGTGCCCGTTGAGGAGGCCCAACGAAGTAATCTGGTCCCACCGGGACGGTCTCGCCTCCATGTCTCACCGTCGTTCCGCACTGCCCAATGTATACAACTCATCACCCCATGCTAATACACGGAGAAAAATATTTACTCCGCTAGGTGGGGTTCTGACGTCCCAAATACAGTACCTATATTGGAGTAGATTTTCGCTTTGTTTTGGAGTTTTATCCATTAAACTCCATCTTACCGGGTTCCAATACTCCAAACAGTTATGCATGAGGAGTAGGAGAACTCCCAGGCTCCTTCATTTACTCTGGTACATCAAATGAGATACTTAAGTTACTCTGCCTCGTCATGGAATACTCCAAAGTTAGTGGTATATAAACACCCATAAAAGGAGTTTCCGAATTAAGGTGTTTGTAAATCCTTCGGGGAGTAAATATTTTTCTCCGTGTATCTCATAGCTCTGCAACGACCTTTTAAGACCGAAAGAGCTTGAAACAAGAGCTTGAAACAAAAGAGCTCCCAACCATCACCGTTCCATGCTACTATCCTCAGGATACGGAAATCCTTCTCCTCCACGCCGCAACCCCCGCCGGGCTGGACAGGCAACTTTATCTCATGCGGGCTGCTCCCTTGGAGCGGCACCGCTGCTCCCGAGGGAGCGCACCCCGTAGCCGGGTGCAGTGAGTACCTTGGGGCTGTTCGGCCTGTCCTTCGGGATGGGCTCAGCCCCGGTGACTCACTAGGATGCCTGCCCAGACCAATGTCTCCCCCTAATTCCTATCATCCTTCCGGCTCTGAAATGGTCTAATTAGACCGAAAGGGCCTAACCCAACAAAACAAAAGAGCTCCCAACAAAACAAACAAAACAAACGGATGTGAAAGCATCAGGACTAGATTACCTAAGGATAGGTCAATGTTAAATGAATTCATTCTTAGAAAACAGCAAACGTCTGCTTCTAAGTTCTAGCTACAATGACTGAACGATTACTTTGGTTTTTCAGCCATTGATGAGGGTGATAGGATGTATCAAATACATGCCTCGGATTTTCTTTATTCGTGCCCATAGATCAGGTCAATTTCGCGACCTCTCCATTGCAAGTCAGTCAAAGAAAAAGAATGCTGTGCTGTTTTCCAACAAAAGTCATTTTAAACACCTTCAAACATAACTATTTTGTAAGCGTGGATTGAACATTGAATGCAGGGAAAAGTCACCCGTGATCCCTACATTTCAACTCTGAGGTCACCACCCTAATGTCAAAAAGGTCACTAACAGTTTTTCGATAAAAACTTTTACAGAAGTTCGATAAAACAGTTAAAAATGCATTTACTGTAGGTATAGGTGTTCCGCCCAGCAATACTGTTCCATTGCTATGCAACTTGACCTTTTTCGGTCAGGTCATGACTGACTCTACTTGCTTGAGTCAGCTGGCCGCTTGTCGCCACGATGGCCCATCACGGGAACCCAGTCAGAGGAGAGGGGGGGGGGCCTGACGACGACGCCTCAATGTGATACACCTATCGATTATCGTATCAACACCAAAAACGACAGCCAAGCGAAATGATTACCTATCCATGTTCAGGAATGAGCCATCCTCATTAGGTCATTTATGATCAGTGAGCACCTACCCCTGTCCTGTTTCGTACTGGCGGTCACCCACGCCGTGCACTGGCTAAGGTCAGCTATAGGAGCACCACATGGCGGGATGGCTGTTACTGTTAGCTCGGCTGAGTGGCCCTTCCTGAGGAAAGGCTCAGTCGCGATGGCAAATCAGCCGCGGTGTGGAGGTCTTATCAACATGTCTCCTCGCGTCCCATCACCGCACGGTCCAAGAAGAAGTCTGAATACACCGAGAGACTATATGTAGAGTCTGACTCAACACAGAAGGCGCGACGGCCGCAGGTGCGCGCTGCGCAGTTCGCTGCTCCGGCAAACAAGATTCAGCTGGCGGCCGATTAGCATTCAGTACCCTCTGCTGGTCTGGCGCCTACAGTACCGCTGCTAAACGCTGGACCGATCACAGTCGGCAGGGGGCTGGAGGGGCTGGGGGAGGTGCGACTGGTGACTCACGGACCAGTCCTCAGGAGCCGCCGAAGGGCCGCGCTCAGTGACGAGCGGCCACCGGTGTGTGGGGGTGTCCGCCAGCCGGCCGCTATGGAGTTGTGAACTCGGACTCACCGAGAGAGGAGCGGTGAGGGATCGAGAGAGAGCTGTGATTGTACCAAACATGTCTGCGGGCGTGTGGTGGGCGCTGTGTCTGCTGGCCGCGGGTCTGCCGGCGGCGCACCTGTACGCCGCCCCCAGAGGTGAGTACCGCTCTGAGGCCCCGTGGACCGTCTCCCTATCGGAGAGCCTCTCAGAGACTCTCAACCTCGGCGCGGTAGTGTGCCCTCCCCCCCCCTCTATTACGGCGGAAAGACCTGCTCCGTCCGGCTGTCCTCCAGAGTCCCGGTGGAGAAGCCTCTTCTCTCTGTTGCTTCCTGACGGAAAGGCCCGCCCCATCTGTCTGCCCTTTCCAGGCGGAGAGGCTCCGTCTGCCCCCCCCCCCCTGTAAGTTGAGAGGAGCCGTCAGCATTCGGCCGGGCGCCGCACCCGGTCACCGGGAGCAGCAATCTGCCGTCGGGGCCGCCCGGATGTCGTCTGCACTTTGGCTCATCTGCCGTCTGATCTCTGGTTCGACTGGCACCTGACCTCTGGTTCGCCTGCCGTCTGACTCTGATCTCCGGCTCGACTGCCGTCTGACTCTGGTCTCTTTCCGGCCGGTCGTCAGGTCTCCCCTTTAATCAATCCCAGCGGCAGTCTGCCCCCCCCCCCCTGTCACCACACTGTCGTCTGATATCTCTCCGGCCGTCGGCCCAGCCTCCCCAACTCGGTCCCACCGGCAGTCTGCCCTCCCCCCGTCACACTGTCATCTGATCTCTCTCCGGCCCCCCGCCCAGTCAGTCTCCCCACCTCAGTCCAAGCCGCAGTCTGTCGGCGCTGTCTGTCGCGACCGAGACCGCAAAAGTCCGCTGGTCGGCGTGTTGTTCCGATCGAATCGACCGACACTCGACGCGGACTCCGTGCTGCAATCCTCACACCGGGCTCGCAGGTTCCGGTGTACGGTGATGACGCTTGACGTCACCATACAAGATGATGTTTGACGTCACCTTGTGATGAATTTTATCGTCACTGCACTGTCGTCTGACGCTGCCGCTTCCCTCACCGTGTGACGTGGAGGCCAGTGAGGTCCCCGGTGAGTTCCCCGAACCAGGGACAGGCACCGAGCCGACCGATACAGGCGCAGCAGAGGAGCGGCAGTGTGAGCAGCGCGGTCGGTGGAACGACGGCAACCGTCCACAGGAGGGGCAGGACGGAGGACCGGCGGCATCTGTCCACGAGAGGGTCGGCACTGTCCACAGGAGGGGCAGGACCGGCGGCATCTGTCCACGGGAGGGACGGGACCGGCAGCTTCTGTCCACGGGAGGGACGGGACCGGCAGCTTCTGTCCACGAGAGTGACGGTACCGGCAGCTTCTATCCACAGGAGGAGGGACGGGAGGGTCGGCGGCTGTCCACAGGAGGGACGGGACCGGCAGCTTCTATCCACAGGAGGGACAGGACCGGCGGCATCTGTCCACAGGAGGGACAGGACCGGCGGCATCTGTCCACGAGAGGGACGGGAGGGTCGGCACTGTCCACAGGAGGGACGGGACCGGCAGCTTCTATCCACAGGAGGGACGGGAGGGTCGGCAACTGTCCACGGGAGGGACGGGATGGGCGGCGACTGTCCACAGGAGGGACGGGATGGGCGGCGACTGTCCACAGGAGGGACGGGAGGGTCGGCATCTGTCCACAGGAGGGACAGGACCGGCGGCATCTGTTCACGAGAGGGACGGGAGGGTCGGCATCTGTCCACGAGAGGGACGGGAGGGTCGGCGACTGTCCACAGGAGGGACGGGAGGGTTGGCGACTGTCCACAGGAGGGACTGGAGAGTTGATTGGTGATGGTCATGTGATACATACCGGCTGAAGTGACCAGTTGATGGAATGGACTGATGGAGACTACAAACTGGAAGTCTACAAACGCGGGTCACCCCGTCCATAGGTATGCCTGCAAAGTCACTTCCAAACTCTTCTACCTACCTTACACACCGTGGAAAGTAGGACTAGGTACTGCTGACTTCAACACGGAATATTACAAAATGAAAGAACTTGGGCCTCACTTACGTGACTGCTCTCTTGAGCTAGATTGTTCTATAACTGGTAAAAAGAGCTAACCAGCCGCGGTGCTAACCACTGAGAACAATGAACGGAGGCGCGATCTGCAGCCTCGTCCTTCGAACACTGGCTGGCAGAGATTACCGTCGGGATTGTCCGGGCACAAGCAGAGGCTAACGTCGGGGGTGCATTCAAGTCTCCGTCGCCAGCGTCCAGCGACCGGAGCCGTCCAGCCCGGTAACGCCCCCCCCCCCCTCCCCTCTCTCCCTTCAGCTCAAGCTCATCTCAGCAGTTTTCCCAGCACGATGCGTGTATAGTGTTTATATGTACGGACTACGGGGGAGGGGGGGGGGGGTGGAGGGCATTACGATGACCCTCCGGACACGGGACGAAGGACTGAGACGGAACGGGCTGCGCTGTCACAAGAGTAGTAGGGCTGAAAGACTAAAGCACTAAATCTAACTTGTCTCCACAGGGTATACCTTCCAAATAGTTCAGCCTCCGAGTCGTTTTACAACGAGTGACTGCTGAGTTTTATTGAGTCTAGTTTAATGTTAAGTTGATTTTCTTGGGTGATGCAGAAAATCATTCGCCGTTTGTACCCTCCAGCCTCCAGTCGGCTCGTCAGACGGTACATCAGTCGGTCCGTCATTTGGCTTTGTCTCCCGGTCCTATTCTATAGTCTGCCGATGTGTACGCTCGGCCCCGTCAGCTTCATCTTCAGATTACTGAATGTAATGAGTAGACGGTGCTCCCGAAACCAGTGCACAGTGGGCGTTTCAGGGGTTCTAGCCTCTCACAGCCTTTCAACCCTTATAGCCTTGGATCTAGGAGACCTACGCCTACGAATTACACACCAAACTGTAGCAAATTCATTTATGAACGTGAATGCATGACGTTTCCCATGTTATAAGCTTTCGCAATATGCAGGAACATGCATGAAATGTTGCATAAACGTGGCAAAACGGAGCACATCCATGCCCCCTTGCCGTTTGGCCCCTGATTGAGCTAGAGCTTCGCGGAAAAAGCGAGCGTGCTGCCCGTGATCAGAGGAAGCCGATGATACCAAATTTTAAGGTCCTAGGTCATTAGTTGACCTTCCAGGTCAGGTCAATTACCCAAAAGTCGTGAAAATCGGAACCTGTTAAAACATCGTAAAGTGAGGTTGCTTTGGGGCTTTTCGGGGTGCTGATCACGAATTTCATGCTAGTTTTGATCACAGATGATTTCTTTATGCATTTATGCCAGGTCGGGTCAGGTCAGGTCAGGTCAACCAGTATGCGTCCTGCCGGGTATTCATAGTAGGTGTCAACCGCTACTGACAGCCTCGTAACATGATACGAAGGCACCAAAACTACTTCGTAAATGCTCAAATGGTTGCTAAATTCGAAATCAGATCCAAAAACTGGCCTAGAAACATGTAAAAGTCGAAAAAGTGAACTTAGGTCACCAAAGGTCAATGACCTGACCTGACCTTCAGGTGACCTTGACACCCAGCATAATGCATGGGACCAACATCATTTCACATGGTTGAGCGTTTGCAACCACAAAAAGACTGCAAACGCGCGGATAATGTGAGCCGACATATACACCGAATCGCGATTCCGGCCAAGCATGGTCTCGAGAAATAGGTCACAGGTCAAAGGTCATTTGGATCAGGGTCATGAAATTTTTAGAGTAGGTGTAAAATTGAATAACTCGAGGGTACTGCAAGTTTCGTCTTGATCGGCCATTTTTTACGCGAGTTATTCGCGAAAAACCGAGGGTGGTCCGTTCGACCCCCTACAAATGCGAGGGTTAAGTTTTTGACTCGTTGACCTCGAGTCAAAGTTTGGTCAGAGTCCGTCATGTCACGAACTTGGTCAAAGGAGGTCGACTGTCTAATTCACCTTATTCCGGAGTTATTGACGGAAAACTAATATGGCCCTAATGACATCATAAATGACGACATGCAAGGTCAGCAATGCAAAGGTGTAGCACCGTACCTTGCAGGGAGCGCATGGAACCATGATTCCATGTGCCTGAGATAGTTTTAGATCATTCCTGGCGCTAAAATAACAGTTTCGATATTTCCCTCATTGACGTATAACGGTGAGATCACGTGACCGACCTGACCGCACATGAAGTTAAGCAAAAAATCTGAGATATACAAGTTGTGAGACCTCTGGACGATGCTACGTTGTGTAAGCTTCATCTCCCTGTGAACGTCCCTCTGGCACTGAGGGCGTTGCGACGTTGCAACATCTGAGGACCGTGCAGAGGTTCACTTATGACGTCATAGGTCAGTGACCTGACCTGACTTGACCTGAAAATGCGGTTGATTTAACAAGATTTGGCTTGAATCAAAGGTCAAGTATGCCAAGTTTCAGCTCTTTATCTCCGGCGTGTTGTGAGCTATCGCGATAAAACCGATAAGGGGGCGGCATTCCCCCTCGGCCTCGGGGGGGGGGGCGACTTATGCAGAATTTCCCATTAACTCATATGCAATATTTCTCATTTTTTAGGAAACAAAATGTGTTTGAGGTTTCGCGAGACCAGACCGGCCGGATCGCCCACTGTGCATCGCCTGAGGCCTTTCCGGTCACGTGACAGCTCATCCTATGGTCAATTAGAATGCTTCTGACCCACGAGATAACACTGGCTGGTGTTACTGTCATCACTTGAAATAATATAAGCTAAAATGCAGGCTGATTTGTTCCCTCTCGTCACCATGGAGCTAATAAAGGCTAGACAGCGTATTGCAAAATGTTGCATAGCAGCAAATGGCGCAAGTTTGCGCACTTTTTTATTGCTTGGCCGGTTCAATAACATCACAATGCACATTGTGACACACGATTTAGAGCGGGACCTGGGGGAACTCAAAAGATCGGCTTTAACCCGCGCCCGGCTGGGGGTCCTGGATTTCCACGCCCTGCTGGGGGGGTGTTTGAACACCCCCCCCCCCCTTGTAACTCGGCTCCTGGGCCACGTAGCGATACGCGGAAGGCGGCATTCGAAAGAGCGTCAAAAATAATGACGAAATCACTTTGGTCAATTTTTTGGTCAGGTCAAAGGTCAGGTCACCAGAGGTCATTGAAGGCAAAATTTCGCCGATTTCCAGGTCGAATATCGAAAATTTCCAAGAAGCCAACCCATAACTCGGGAACCAATAGAGCTACAGCGCCGCGGAAAAGCGCATTCGATAGCCCTATTAACGCCCTTTCTGAGTAATTCTCTCAGATTTGACCTAACGTCAACGGTTTTGCCTGCAGGGGGCAAAAACTGCAAAAATAGCCGATTTTTTCGGAAACAGTTTTTCGGCAATAACTTTTGACCCAAGCCTTGTACGAGCTTACTTTTACCGGCATCGTGTTTCTCTCGTCAAGACGCATCGAATGAATTATAACTTGACCTTGAAAGGTCATTTTGAAAATTTGACCTCAGGTCAAGGTCATGACCTGACCGGAAAGGGTCATGTTGCATATCAGTCGATCCGTATCGTCGAGCTGAACACATCTAAGGCGTTTTCATCGCTCTAGCATGCCTCTATCAAAAGTTATTTGCGAAAAACTGTTAGATACAATTCGTGATCTAAGATGACCTCAGGGCATAAACAAGGGTCACGGACACCATTTTCATGTTCAGTGTGTCTAAACCACTTGTAATTCAGTGTTTGGGAGTGTTTATAATGTCTTTCGTCCAAAAGAGGCGCATTTCAATTTTCTCCCATTGACTTATAATGGGGAGGTCGCAAAATTGAACTGACCTTAGGTCACCGATATCAAAATTCCGAGATATACATTTTATAGATACTGTTACTCTTATCAATCGCTGAAAGTTTCAAAGCGATCGGTCACTCGGTGTAGCTATGACAGACATTGAAACTTTTTATGAGGTGAGGTCACTTCAAGTGACCTGGTGACCTGACCTTGAATGACCTTGGTCTGAAATTTTCACAACATGTGTAGAATTGATGTATGATAAGGTATACCAAAAACGGCGGCGCTCCGCGCCGCCGTTTTTGAGATATTCGCGAAAAACCACAAGGGGGGGGGTGTTCAAACACCCCCCAGCAGGGCGCGGGTTAACATAGAGAGTGATATTAATTTTAAGCATATCAAATAACTCGATGATATGTTTATCTCTCATGCTGCTAAATGATTTTCGCAACCTCATTTTTCGTTGCGCGGAATTGATCGTAACATGTCACAGAACAACTCATAAAAACATTGGCGTGTAAAACTCACGTACATAGGATCCCCATGGCAACTACTTTGACTTTTCAAACACCCGAAAACTATGACCTGTCTACGGCCTAAGAAATCTTTGTGTTTGAAGCCCCTTTCACCCTATACCAAGTGGTTGCATGACAGTGGCGGCGGAAGCAGGGGGGCAAGGGGGGCAGCTGCACCCTAAAGCTATGGAAAGGGGCGCCTCGAAAATCTGTAAAGGAGGCAGGAAGTTAAGAGGTGCGGCAGCCATAAAGCTGAGCAGTGCGAGGCGACACCGCAACTGATAAAGGCACTTGTGACACGAAGACTGAAGAGGGTGGCAATGACGTGGGAAAAGTATCTTTTGATATGCTGAAGAGTGGAGGGCATCCTTATCTGAAACAAAGGCAGATGCTGCCGACCCTGTCGAATATAATCTTGCCAGGCGATAAAGGCTAGGAGGGCGCAGCTACTCGAGAAGCGCGCCATGCGGAAGAGGGGCGCGCCTGTGTGTGGGACGAAAAAGAAACATTTATGGAGAGTGGAGACGTCTTTGAAGGCGATAGCCTCCGAACGCCAACACGAACATATGAGGGCTTATAGCGTTGCAGGCTCCATGCGACAAAAAGGGGCGCCTGATGGCCGATATGCGAGAGGAAATTAGTTTGTGTAACATTTATCGGGGGCGGTTTGCCGTTTACAACATATGAATGTTAAGGGAGGTCCGAGATTGGGGCCTGTAAAATTGCACTGTCCGTATGGGCGGTTACACCCCTAGTGGCTAGTGCTAGGGCGTATTTTGCATTTTTTTTTTTTTTTTTTTTTTACTGGGGAGATGATTATGACCAGGAATAGCACTCTGCAAACTTCTATGGGCGCCTGTAAAGGGGCGAAACTGATTTTCCAGTGCAGGGACGGCCATCGGCATGGTAAGGGGCGCCCAGCGGGAAGGGGCGCTTCAATATCGTTTGCACCCCTATCCTAGAATACCTTCCGCCGCCACTGTAATGCATGACCAGATAACGGTCATTTATATAATGTATGGACATTTTGTAGTCGATTGGTATGCTTTTTATTTTCATAAAAGCAAAATAATTTTTTTGCTCCGTAAGAGGCTAGACCGGCCCGAACGCCTACAGTGCAGTGGTTCGTCGACGCTCAAAACGTTTTAACCCTAGAACGCCTAGGGGGGGGGGGTTGTATCAACCCCCCGCCTGAGGTTTTTTCAAAGTGCACGCTTAACGGCTTGTCGTAGCGGGCTGAAATTTTCAATACCCTCTGGGGCAACCTTTGCGCATCTTTTGCCGAAAAAAATTGATCGGGTCATGTCAGGTCACGGAGTTATGACGTCATAAGAGGTACAGCCTCCGGCCGACAGTTACCAAACGTGTGCGCCGAATCCCTAGGTTTTCTGCCGGTGCTACCCACATTGTTTGATGGATCATGATGAAACTTCCCATGCATGTTGGGGCAAGCATTGGCTATCGTGTGGTGCAAGAAAATTGACCGGGTCAGGTCAGGTCACGGAGCTATGACGTCACAAGAGGAACAGCGTCCGGTACTAATTTTGAAAAGCGCCCGAACCACTATTTTGCTAATTCTTGTCACCTCAATGGGAATATGCAGCAATATTAGCTTCTATAGGGAGCAAATGGACCTCCCAAATCCAAAAATACAATCAGATTTCAAAAATTTAAATTTTGATTTTTCGAATTTCTGCCGCCGACTGTGACCTTGCCGACTTCCGGCGCTCCCAACGCGCCATTTTTAGAGCTAGGGAAACGAAATACATACCAAACGATAGAGAATTGATCAAGGAACACGATAGTGAAGGTTTCAAGTCGATATCTCCCACCGTTTTGCCGCAATCGCCGCGGAAAGTTGAAAAAGTTTGATTTTTTCGGAAAATTTGACCTTTGACCGGTCATAAGTAGGTCAAATGTTGACCTAGGACCAAAAAATATACCACCAATCGCGAGATCTCGTTGAGAGCAATCCGTTGGTTTTTTCCGCTAAGCTCTACGACCTTCCGTTTCGAAACGCCAGGGGGGGTCGTAACAACCCCCCCCCTGGTCGTTCGTGTTATGAGAAATGGCCTGGTCGTGCGAGGGTTAAGGCAACTCTGCGGGAATTGTAACAACTAGCCGATTTCTTGTCTTATCGTTTTTAACACTTAAATCAAGTGTTTGTTTGAGCGTTGGTTGATGTCCTTTGTGTATTGACTGCAGCAGTCACGGTGTTGCACGTTATTGTAGTGATCTGTAACATTGAACATTACATTAAACATGAGCATTATATTACATACGAGTATATAACACACGCTTCTGACGCCCTCCATCGCCGCTACAGGTGCTCCAACCACCGCTGTATCCCGGCCACCTGGCACTGCGACGGAGACGACGACTGCGGAGACGGAGCAGACGAGCCCGCCGACTGCAAGTCCAAGGAGCGCACCTGCTTCGGCGACCTCTTCACCTGCGATAACGGCTACAGCAAACGCGCCAACCGAAACTGAGACGCTGGAGACGGACCATATGACAGCAATTCCAGGGACCCCATCTGCATCGGCGATCTCTTTATTTGTGAACATTGCATCCACGCCAACTGAAATGGAAAAGGATACAAAGGGTTTAAACACGCAGACCACACCGGTTTCGGCGACCTCTTTGTCCGCGACAGCGGCTACCCCATCCACGCTGCCCGATAATGAGAAGAACACGGTGTTTGCAAGCTCATGGGCCGCATCTGTTTCGGCGACCTCTTCACCTTCAACAGCAGCTGCAACATCTGGCGCTAAGACCCCCGAAACGGACACGACTAGTTTTAGTCGAGGAACCACGCTTGCTTCAGTGACCTCCTCGCCTACGACAACGGCTACCGCACCCACGCCAACCGAAACTGAGAAGGAAACGATAAGTCCAGTAACCACACCTGTTTCGGCGGCCTCTTCGCCTACGCCAGCGGCTACTGCACCCATGCCGCATGGCACTGAGGCGGAGACCACAACCGCCGTGACAATACCAACGAGCCTGCCAAATGCAGCTCCAATCAGTGGTAGGATATTCAGGGGTGTTGATGGGCAATTGCCTGCCAGCTTACTGGCTGAAAAGTGCACTGGGCTAATGGTAGATTTAGAAGTCATTCGAGATATCGTCTCCCTGCATGAGGTGCTACTGGTGCAAGGGAATAGGCTGGGTTAGCCGACCTCTCAGGTTGGCGTCTAATTGACCATCGGAAGCGCGATATGGCCACTCAGTGAGGCATAGGCATAAAAATTGATCGAACTCAGCTCAGGTGTTTCTTGGTAACCTTAACGTTAACGTGTCCGATGTCAGTCTAACCTGGTGCCATGTTGGCTGTTGCTTGTGTCTGGGTGGTATTCATTTCTTGTCAACCGCACCGACCGTCTGTCCACGTCCTGTGTCCGGCAGACTACCGGCAGTGCTCCGAGTACGAGTTCGCGTGCACGGAGAACAAAAAGTGGGGCCGCGCGCTGTGCATCCCGAGGCAGTGGGTGTGTGACGGCGACCCGGACTGCGTGGACGGCGCCGACGAGGACAGGGTGCACGCAAACTGCGCCGAGCTACCCAACACGTGCACAGAGGAGCAGTTCACCTGCAACAACGGGCGCTGTATCAGCAGCGTAAGGGCCCAACGCCGGATTATTGCGTAACTCTGTCTCTAGCGGCCGATGGCAACCGTGGTAACGGCTGCTAATTTCGATTATGGCATCCTATCGTCATGCTTATATAATACCTAGCCGATGCGTGCCGTTTTTTTAACACAACTACCAATCCTTGAAGATTGGGGATATGATGTGGAGTGTGCTTGTTTCCGCATATCTACCCCCCCCCCCCCCCCATTCGGATTTTTAACTGCTGATCGCTTGCTGACCGTCCTGCCTCCAGCACTGGGAGTGCGACCACGACAACGACTGCGGCGACGGCAGTGACGAGGGCAAATCGTGCAACACCCGCTACCGCAACTGCACGGCCGACGAGTTCGCCTGCGACAACGCCAAGTGCGTGCGGAAGGCGTACCACTGCGACGGAGACGACGACTGCGGCGACTACTCGGACGAAAAGGACTGCTGTGAGTGCCGCGCCGTCGTTGCTGGACCGGGCACCAGATCATTGAACTGTCGACAGTCGTGGAGAGGTGTGGGGAGTCGGGGACTTTGTTCGTCACATCATAGCAATTACGGTTTTCCTCTGAGAGGATCAGAGGAGAGTTGAGTATATTTGCAACGTGTCTGGCTCATGGACTATTGCTTTTTACTCTCCAGAGCGCAACTTTCCTCCCTGTCGCCACATCCATCCTCACTGCCCGCCGCTGACGGTCCGTTGACGTCCGTTACAGCCAAGGAGGAGACCGAGTGTCCCCCGGGAGAGTTCTCGTGCGGCGGCAAGGACCTCGAGAAGCGCTGCATCAAATACGAGCTCGTCTGTAACAAGGTACGACCCACTGTGCTAGAACCAGGCTCAGGACTTAGAAAGTGCTCTTCTGGATGCCGTCAGCGTGCACTGGACAATGTTGCAGCCCATAACCAGCCTGTACTCAATGTTCATACAACATGCCTTGAAAGTTTAACAAGAACACGTTGGTCGGTACATACAGTGCGACTGAGGAGCATAACCATTTGCCCGCACAGAAATCGAAGACCAATAGAATTATTTATTTTATGTTCTATTTCTTCTAATCAGTTGGCACCGATATTCCTTATTCGTGCTCATTCTACGTTTCATGATCTTGTGTATCCTTTGCGTAGTAAGATCGCCAAGCTTCTTTTTTTCTGAATGCTTTCGCTGCCGCCCTACTGACCGTCTCTCCTCTAACCGTCCCTCCATTGAACGTTCCTCTAACCACCCGACGTCGGCTCTGGCCAGGTGGACGACTGTGAGAACGGCGCTGACGAGCCGCCGCACTGCAACGTCGACGAGTGCGCCAAGACGGAGCTGCACCAGTGCGGACACAAGTGTGTCAACACGCTCACCGGCTTCTACTGCGAGTGCAACCCCGGATACAGGCGAGGCTGAAGGGGGAATGGGCACAGAGTAGAAGGAAATTGGCCGTCTGCTGCTGGTTTAGAACGTTTGTCAATGAATGGGACCGTCTGTCGATGACTGTCGCTGATTTATTTTTTCCCCAGGCTGATGGCCGACAAGAAGGCGTGCGAGGACCTGAACGAGTGCTCACAGCAGATCAGCAAGTGCTCCCAGAAGTGCTTCAACATGCCGGGCTCGTTCGCCTGCAAGTGCGACGAGAAGTACTACGACAGAGAGCTGGACGGCTACACGTGTAAGCGGCGCGACAACATCGAGCCGTGGCTCATCATCACCAACAAACACTACGTGCGCAACATTTCCACGGACGGCGCTCACTACACGCTGATGCGCCAGAATCTACAGAACGTGGTGGCGCTCGACTTTGACCTGCAGGAGGACCGATTCTACTTCGCTGATGTCGCAGACAATAAGATCCACAGGACGGTCCGCAATGACAGCGGCGAGTTCTACGAGCCTATCATCACCAGCCAGACGGGCGGCCTGGCGGGCCTCAGCGTCGACTGGGTGGGCCGCAAGCTCTACTGGCTGGACCGGCACGAGAAGCACCTGGACGTGTCCAACCTGGACGGCTCGTACCGGCGAACGCTGATCAACCGCGGCCTGACCGACCCGCGAGCCATTTCCGTCCACCCGGGCATCGGCTACATCTTCTTCATCGACTGGAGCCTGCAGTCCTTCATCGGCAAGGTCGGCATGGACGGCAGCAATTTCACACGCATCATTACATTCAACGACAGGGTTGTTTGGCCTAATGCGCTCACAATCGACTTCTTTGCCGACAAGATCTTCTGGGCGGATGCCCACTTGGATTACATCGCCTACTCGGACTTCGAGGGTCGCGGACGGCACGAGGTTCTTCAGGGCGCCAACGTTCACCACGTGTTTGCTCTGACCGTCATCGACGACACGCTCTTCTGGACCGACTGGAACCTCAAGGCGGTGGTGCGCGCGCACAAATTCACCGGAGAGAACGTGGCCATTCTGCGCAACACCACGACCCGTCCGTACGACATCAAGGTGTATCATCCGCTGCGGCAGCTGGCCTATCCGAACCCTTGCGCCGAGAACAACGGTAGCTGCTCGCACCTGTGTCTGCTGTCGCCCAAACGCGATGGTGGTGTGCGTGCCCAGTGCGTGGGGTGACCCAGCACAGGGGTAGCCAGTAACATTTGGTAGCATTAGGCCAAATGGGCGCTCAAAAACTACTACCCCGTAGGGTTTCGATGTTAAATCGACCTTTTTCAAGCGAGCCCCATACGTAAACTAAAAAATAAAGTCCCAATATTATTGTGGGGAAAGGTAGCCTCAAGCTTCCTCTACAACCTTTCTATCTAGCGTTTTTCGATGCGGAGGTCATAACAGGTCCAAAAAGCAATGGGCGCTGTCCGAGGTGCGTATTTGGAATTTCCGACCTCGACGAGCGTCTGTAGTAGAAACCACTACTTTTACCGAAACTACTGCTGTCTGCTACCATTTGCACTGCATGTGTCGCTACAGTTGCGACATCTATGCACATCACATACATAGGATAAACATAATATAGGTAGTAGGTACATATAACTACTTAAGGTACAACTGGTCTGGAAGGTCGTAACGTGATGTAAGTAGTAACGGCAGCGTTCCGCGTCGTTTTTGACTTTAAGAACTTGGGTCTGAAATTTTAACAGCATGTGCGGAAAATATGTAAGTTTTGAGTTTCCTTATAAATTTAGTCCACTGCTGCGGATCTTTTGAATGGTAGGATTCACAAGGAGCTAAGCAGATCTTGTTGCATTGGCCGGCCCCTGCCCTCCATCTTCCGATAGCGCAATTCTTGATATATGACAGAATTTAGAGTCCGAAGTCGTACGCAATAGCCGCGCACGGCCGGTCCCCTCACTGGCTACGGCCTGCCACCAACCGCAGCCATACCTGTCAGGAGGCTCATAAACATCGAGTGCCCCTGGCGCTTCAAACCCGGACTGTTATGTTCTGACCGGGACGCGAGATCTCACCTCGCGGAGTCCAAGGCTCTACCGACTGAGCTACAGGACCGGCTCAGTCGGTTCCGGAAGTTGAGGTTAACAAAGTTAAAATTGTCAGGCCACCAGGTCAGTCCAACTGACCTCACCTCGAAAAAAAACTTAAAATGTTCGGCTATAGCTACACCGACGGCACGATCGCCTTGAAACGTTCAGCGATTGATATGAATAATGTTAGGATTGGTATGCATAATATATTATTATTTCTTAAGTTTAGCACTTTCAGACAGGGGAAGAGATCTGTCAAAATTTCAGGGGGGGGTCCAGGCTGGGCAGATGGAGGCGGGCTGGATGCAGTACCATTGACTTATAGCAATAATTCGTTTTCAGGGGGGTCTTGACCCCCCGACACCCCCCCCCCCCCCGAGATCTCCACCTCTGCTTTCAGGCACTTGGTATTCCTAACTTATCACGCATGGGGTCACTGGCGGGCTCCTGGGGGCCTACACCATTATCTGCAGCCCTAGGCGGGCTCCTTTGGGTCTTTCCAGTTGACTAGCATATAGGGCTTCACGCGCGACTGAACTTCTGAGTTATTAAACTGCAGCTACAATGGTCTCTGAGGAGTCCCACCTGTCTATTTTTGGAAGAAAACGTTTCATTGGTTTCTATTTTTTCTTGCATGATAGGCACTTTGAGAAAGGTATCCAAATCGTCAACTCGATGAATCGATAAAAATCACGAACATCTCAATTATCAGGAGGCACACTGCTAAATGCTAATACCAATGCATGCGTACCTATATACCTATAGGCAAGAGGCATGTCTTTTGTGGCATCATATTGGACCTTCCTCCTCCCCCCCCCCCCCCCCCCACCGCTCAGCAACTTCGACTGCCGGGGATCGGGCCGGCCATGACATGAGTCCCCCCACCCCAAAACCGAAAGTCTGGATGGATCCACCCTGGTGCCCTAGCTAATCGCTAACTAGAATCGGCGCACACAGATGTCGCAGTAAACAGTTTATAAGCGGTTTGTTTGCATAGATGTCGCGACTATAGCGACACATGCACTATGCAGTGCAAATGGTAGCAGACAGCAGTAGTTTCCCCTACGAAAGTGGTGGTTTTCTACCACAGATGCTCGTCGAGGTCGGAATTTCCAAATCACGCGTCCGAGGTACCAAAAGCCCCTCCATGAGAGCACAAATCCCTGCGCATGCGCACATTGCCTCAGCCCTGTACTAGCGTAAATTAGTGATACTGCTCACGGACTCGTTCAGCCAATCAGCGTCCCCGATTACATTAGATGTCGCTAGCATCACGTTAATCCTGCTTGCGAACACCCGCTGGCCCGCTGCGCCCCGCTGGGGGGGCAGAATCTGCCCCCCCTCCCGTTTTTCGCCAATAACTTCTAAACGCGTTACGCCAGCGACGTCAAACTTTCAGTACCTTATCATACATCAATTTGACACGTTCCCTGAAAATTTGAGCGAAATCCGTCGGAAAATTTTTGAGCAATTGACGTTTTAGTGACGTCATGTTCGCCATTTTCGCCTCAAAAACGGCAAAATTTCAAACGCCGCTAACATCTTCATTTTTAAAGGAATCAAGACGTAACAAAAAAGGTTATACGTGATTCTACTTTGTCTATCAAATGGCTATTTCGGTTTTTTGAAAATTTTGGATTTTGGCCAAAATTTTTCCAAAAAACTGACTTTTTTTGAGAAAATATTTATAAAATCCAAAATTTTGAGTTTATCGAAAAAAACCGGAATATATGTCAAAGAAGTGGTCTATGCGCACCTACATACCAGTTTTTAGAAGAATCGGTTCAAAAATGTGGGAGTTATTCATAATTTTATGACGTCACGACACACAAAATTTTTGAAAAAATGATTTTTTTTGGAAGTTCTATACCTCGTACGGAAACAAAAATAGCACCATTCGATTCGCCGTGAAAAACTGCATCGGATAGACACCTTTTTAGGCCTTAACAACCAACTTCAAAATTTGACCTCACTTGACCTGACCTTGACCTGACCTCGACCTGAAATTCATCCAGAGGTGGTCCATATCACTTATTGAGTGTGCCTATTGAATTCCATGAGTAAAATGACCCATAAAACATGTGTCGCACATGCCCTTTTCAATATTCTGTTTTGGTGACCTGACCTGACCTGACCTTGACCTTTGAATGACATTGTGTGCAACGAATATTGTCTTGGTAGTCTAAGAACACGTTTTGGGCAATCAGTCTCAGTCCATTCTTCGGCAACCACGGTGCAAGACCGATACTGCAGAAACTTGCATTTTGTACCCTTGACCTGACCTTGACCTGACCTCTGACCTACTTAAGCAAAAAAAATTGGGCTCTCAAGATCCGCCTTGTTGAGAGCTTTCGATTGCCGTTTTCCCCGTCTTTCTACGACCATCGGTTCGGAAGTTAGACAGGGGGGGGGCAGAATCTGCCCCCCCCCCCAGCAGGGCGCGTATGGCTGAATAGCCCAGCGGGGCGCGGGTTAAGAATGAAACAGCTGCGCCATATCTGCCTTCCATTGATTCTTTCCATCTTAGTATCAACTATACGCTTTTCAACTAGCTTTATACTAAGTTTTAAACTATGGTTAGTATGCTTTTTCTGGTACATATAATTAAAAAATAACTGCTTTATGAATTTGGCTTTACTCGTCAGATTAGAATGCTCTATTTTTCCATATTCAAAAAATATATCACCCACCATGTAACTCATCCAGGTAAAATGGGCGTTTTCCGCGTCGTTGGTGTACCCGTTGTTCTATAGGTATACCCTAACTCAGCACTTCATATAGAAAATTCATACCACCAGCACGGCGCGGATTAACCCTCGAACTTCCCGGCCCGCGGCCCACGTCCAGTTCTATGCGTACTTCGGGGCTGGATAATACAGTTCGCTTCGCACAAGAAAACAGCGAAAAATAAAAGATTACAAGATCTTGAGAACAAAATTAACGCGCTCCAAAGCCATAGCGATCAAGACTCAGATGTGTCCGAGTCGTTATCTAGCATTAAAGAAGAGAGAGAGAACCTGATTTACGAGTCCACCCAGCGGGGCATCATTAACTGTAAAGCTCGATGGCGGCATGCAGCCGAGCGAGGTACCGCGTACTTCCACGGCCTTAACAAACGAAATCGTGCGGGCACCGTTATTAAGTGCTTAAAATTAAATCTTACGGGCGCAGGTGTAGTCTCTGAAAATATGACTGATATGTTAGAGGAATGCCGATCTTATTACAGCGCTTTGTACTCCAAAGGCCTGGATGTTTGCCCGGAGGCTTTTCTATCAGGCGTAGAGGTCAATGCGCTTTCGAACGAGCAGTCCTTAGAAGCGGAAACATCACTTACCATGGAAGAGCTACAAGCAGCCCTAAACTCAATGAATGGTTCAACTAGCCCGGGGCCAGATGGGTACACGGTCCCCTTCTATAGAATGTTTTGGAATGGGCTTGGCCCTCTCGTTTTTAGTGCTGCCCTTGAATGCTACAATAACTCAAGCATTCCGTTGCAACTACGAAATAGTATTACAATACTTATTCCGAAGAAAAACAAGGACGCAACTTCAGTTGAATCATTCCGCCCAATAAGTCTATTAAATGTAGTACCTATACAAGATAATTACTAAAACATTAGCAAGGCGGATCGCCAGGTTTATCGGTATGCTAATTAACGACGACCAAACAGCATTCATCAAAGGCCGCTATATCGGTGAGAATGTGCGAATGGCTTTAGACGTGATGAACTTTGCTCGTGAGAGTGATGAGAAAGGGTTATTCCTCTTATGTGACTGGGAAAAGGCATATGACTCTGTCAGTTGGGAGTACTTAAGATGTGCTGTGCACAAGTTTGGTTTCGGTCCAAATTTTCTTAGGTGGATTAAGTTGTTTTACCCTAGCGATCTCGTGCAACCGACATCAGCACAAATACAGCTAAACGGTCACCTATCTCGCCCGTATTGGATTAACAGAGGATTAAGACAGGGCTGTCCACTAAGTTGCGGACTATTTCTTATGTGCATTGAACCATTGCTTGAAAAAATACGCTCGTGTCGCCTCATCAAGGGGTTCAGTTTCGGGGATACGGAAATTAAGGTCTCAGCGTATGCTGACGACCTGCTCCTTATTACGGACGGGGAGCCCACATCACTG